ACACAAACACATTAGGGCCCCGAATATAGAAGGCAACAATAAATGTCTCTTGAAAGAATCAATCAACAAGCATTTATTAAGTATCTACTACGTGTTAGTCACTTGGGATACAAGTACATAGAATGAAACAATCCCTACTGGCAAGGAGCTTCCATTCTAAACAAAAGTTTAAAATGGTAATAACTCATGTTTAGAATACTTTATCTAAATCTGTATCTATGTAAGACAGTTTTACAGATATAAAAAGACATACACCAAGTATGACAGCTGACTGACAGCTATGCAAATCATATCAATACACAAAGATACATGTACAAATACACACTCATTAACAAATACAGTCACATAGCTAAACAAAGTTTCATAAAGCCTTACACAAAGGAAGTGACAGCCCCAGGTCACAGGCAGATCAGAAGCCAAGAAATCTAGGCATCAGAATATCCATCCTGGGGCCCTCTTCCCTTCCCTCTTTCTCCTGCCTGGGCCCCCACCCTCCCATCAGGAAGGGCAAAAGGGAAGAGGCTGTAATAAGAAGACTGTAAGTGTCTGGGGAAAGGGAAGAAAGACGTTGTGGAGAAGGGAGGCTAAAAGAAGAACACATAGGCACAGCTAGGTGGTGCAGTGGGATAGAGCACTGGCCCTAGAGTCACGAGGACCTGAGTTCAAATCCGGCCTCAGACACTTCCTAGCTAGCTGTGTGACCCTGGGCAAGTCACTTAACCCCCACTGCCTCAAAAAAAAAAAAAAAAAAAACAACAACATGTAGGGGTATATAGAGTCCACTTTGCCCCTTACCTACAAGTAAAGGCCTATGCAAGCAGATGCCTTCTCTAAGGCCTCTGAGAGAGGCTGCCCTTTGGTCAGGATTGTGGTACGAGTCCGTGAGTCAGTGACAGCCAAAGATTCTGATTCTATGCAGTACTCTTTTCAAGCCACCCTTCGGACCTCCAGCCCAGGAGCCTTTCTTTATACATACTTTGTCGCATGTGATAGAGCCAAATGAGAAAGTCTAGAAGATGTAGGAAGACAGGCCCCAGCAGAGCCTCCAAATCTTGTTACTGAGCCTACTACATCCACAGAACTAGGAAGACCTTTACCTTCCCTCATGGGTTCAGTTCCTTCCTCCCCACCCAAGATGATGATACTTCCCTTTCCCTACACCTGTAATTCTCACCTCTGTCCTGAAGAACAGGAATCTTATCCTCCATAGTCATTCCTCTTTGACATTCATCTGATCTCTTGACATCACTGAAGTCCTGATGTCCTGGGACAGGAATCACTTCAGCATCAGCAGCTCCCTGATTTTCTCCTTCTTGTGCTGCTCTAGTTCCAAAGAGAAGTCCTGGGGAACAGCAAGCTTTCTCTTGGGGAGGATTCTGACTCCCCAGAGGCTCTCTCTTCCAATTCCATTCTATTCTCTTCTCCATTCCAATTCTACTTTTAGGGGAATCTGGTCTGATCTGGGGAGCCAGGATGTGGGGCCTCAGTGGCAGTGGCTCTTCAACTGGGAGCTTTTCTGTGGTTCTAATCTCAGTCTAAACCACAGGAAGTCCTCTCTCAGAAGCCTTAGGCTGTGCCCTAGAGGACTGGAGGCCACTATGAGGCAGAGACAGGATGGAATAAGCTTGTCCTGTAGACCAATGCCCAGGGCTCTTGGAAGAAGGCTGGAACCCTGGAACAAAGAAATACTCCACAATGTAATATGGTACTGTGGAGTGGAAAAAGCCCTAGTCTGGAAGGCTAGGGACCTGGGATCTGGTTCTGACTCTGCTGTGTGGTATTGGGTAAGATACTTCCATTCAGACTTTGTTTTCCTGAGCTGCAGCATTAGTGGGCTGAACTAGATATCTTAGTTCTGTTTTTATAAAGCTATGTCACCAGGGCAAGTTTCTTCCCCTCTCTAAGCCTCAGATTTCTCATCAATAAAAATGAGGGGGTTGTACCTATACTTTAACAATTAGAACTGTCCAAAGATGAAATGCACTGCTTTAGCACACAATAGGTTCCCTTTCACTAGAGGTTTTCAAACAACGGCTATGTGAGTCTATACTGGCCGCACGCCCCTTCTGCCAGCCGTACGCCGGTACCCACTCCTTCTATACAGAGCACACTACCAGAGTCTTACTCACTCCCGAGTCTTTGGTCCTCAGCCGGATCAACACACAGAGACGAGCCATCGGGAGGCGCCAACACCAGAGCTTTATTCAGAGGCCAACACAGCAAGCCATCATAGCAAGCCCAAGCAGCAAGGCCAGAGCAACAGGGCAGGAGCCAGGAGAGCGCGTGTGTTCTGACCACGCTCGTTCCTAAGCACCTACCTAGCCCCTCCTCCCCAGCCCGCTTACTAGCCAATGATTGTAGGGTCAGATATCGGAAGGGGCTGTCTGAGTTTAGCACACCAAGGGGGAGGGAGTGACGTAGGAGGCTAGGACCGGATATAGGAAGGAGGGGTCTGGGATTAGCGCATAGACAAGAGTACGTGACCTAGGAAGTCAGACTCAGGAGGGGTCTGGGGTCAGTGCTGCACAAAGGGACCCAGGAAGTCAGGAAGGTCACAAGAGGCATCTGGGGATGACGTTGCATGTAGGGAGGGGACTAAGCAAAGGGAACTCAGTCCTCTGCCATCCCACTCCCACGCGGCACCGCCCCTTGCCTCAGGAGCTCAAGCTCCGGCTCCTTCCTTGTACCCAGCTTATCTCACACAGCACTGCCCATTGCCTCAGGGCTTCTCCATATCCAGCCCATCCCAGTTCACCACGACTCTGCCTACCACAGCCCCTGCCTCGACTTCCAAAATACCCAGATCTTACCCTACTCTTGCCACAGCGCCCAACCTGGTAGCTGCCAACATCAGACAGTCCCTCACATGAGTCCTTATTGGGTATACTGTAGAGGGGCAACTTTCAGGTAAAGGTTAGATTATTATTATGCCTCTGGGGCCATTTCTGAATTGAAGATTCTATTCTGAATTGCTGTTTAACATTTGTATTATTATTTGACTTTTCATTTGTTTGCAAGATGTGACTATAGATTCATGAAGGGCTGGAAATTATCTTAGAGATAGTTTAAGATAATGCTCAGAGAGGGGAAGCGATTTGTCTAAGGGATCTATGGGGAACTTCCAACATGGAAACTCTTTCCACAGACACAGACTGTCAAGTCTTTTGTAACTTATACTTTTAGAGAGGCACTAAGGGGTTTAAACGGCTTACCCAAAGTCATGGAGCCGAAATGCTTGTCCTCTATTCACTATGTCACATTACCCTTCATTGTATTATATGATCTTGCATCAATATGTAGAGGTTGAAGTCAGCTAAACTGGAGAATTTTCAGCAATCCTGAAGCAGGAGCAGAAAAGTAAGATGACTAGTTATCTATGGACATTCACAGGTAATCACAGGTAAAGGGGGTGAGGGATTCTAGGGTGGTAGCTAGTGAAACATTAAACATTAATATTGGGAGGCAAACTAGAGTAACAGGAAAAAAAAATAAAATAAAATACTGCACTAGGAGTCAGAAAACTTGGGCTCAAAAGCCCTGCTCAAACATGGGGAAATCATTCCACTTTCTGTGCCTGTTTACCTATCTGTATCTCAATGACTGCTTGCTTATAAAGGTAGATGTAACCAGTTATTTTTCCCCTCCAAAATACACACACTAGGAGAAAAGATTGAGTATGACAGGAGGTAGGGGAAAGAAGAGCACAGAGGATGAAGGAACACCAGGATAGATAGGAAATTGGGAAAGGAGTCCAAACAGAAGACCATAATAGCTTCAGCCCCCGTCTCCACCCCCATTTTCTATACATCGACTCTCAACTAAGCCATGGGACTTGGAATCAAGAGAGACCTAGACTAGAATTATTATTATTCTAATTAAAGGAGTTAATATACATAACGCACTTTGTAAAAAGTGCTATCTATATGACAGCAATTATTACTGTATGCCTCTGACACTTACTCTCTGAGCCTCAGTTTCCTCACTTACAAAACGTGATATCATAAGATCATGTCACAAATCTGCAGATGGAAGGGACTTTAGGGATAATATAATCGATGCCTTACTCCCCCATTTTACAGACAAGGAAACTGAAGCCCAGAAATATTATGTGATTTGCCTAAGGATAACATAATTAAGTGGCAGGGCCAGTATTTTGAGCCCAGGTCATTTACTTTTAAGTGCAGTGTTGCAAATTTGGTTCTTTTTCCATTGTACCTAATACCACCCACTCTACCTATCTCAGAGGTGTTTGTAGGATCATGTGACATAATGAACTATACACTACACTGTACTACACAGTTTATACTGCGCTATGTAAACATGAGTTGCTATTATTAGTAAGGAGGCATCATGGCATAATGGAGAGAGTGGTAGCCGTGGAGCCACAAAGACCTGGGTTCAAGTGCTACCTCTGACACACCTTGGCAAGTAAATCACTGAATCTCTTAGCGCTCTAGGCACCTCGGATTCTAAGTTGAAGAGATGGTAACAATCTGCATTGGTAGTGAGAGTTTTCCTCCCATGGGAGTTACCAATAGCAACGGAATCACAGGTCACTTCCCAATCCCAGTTAGTATTGCTGGTGGTGTTATTTAATCACACTCTCCCGCCACTTTCGGGCTCACCTCACAGTTCCTCCTCCAGGCTCCTCTTACTCCCCCTTTCAGAGCCGAGCTCCATCTCTCCTGTCTGCTCCTATGGATCCTCCCCACTCCCCGACTCCCCGAAGCTTCGTTTTCCCGCCAGACTCACCCCCGCCTACACTTGCAGCCGCTCCCAGCTAGCGGGACAAAGCACCAGTGCATCAGAGCCAGGCCCGAGAGCGAATGCGCATGCGCAAGAGGGGCTGACAGCCTACGTTTCCCGAAGGCCTCGGCGGTTGGCCGTGCCTGCGCCGTGCTCTCCACGGGATTCGGTGGGGGAGGTAGAAGGGGATTGTGGGAAATGGAATTCACGGCAGAGATCGGTTGGGGAGGACCTCCCAGTGCGCAGGCGCTCTGACCCTCTAGCAGAGGTGAGCGTGCAGGAGGAGCAGATTTTATCCAGTTTCTTCCTCTCAAACGTTGGAGACAGACCCTGCATTTGAATCAGGAGATCTCGGAAACAAACGATCTTAAACATAAAAGAAGGTGGGGCTCTCATCCTCCTCTGTTTGACATTTAAGGTTTCTGCCCAGTGTCGGGAGACAGGCTTTTCTGCTGGTCAAAGTGTAGCACCAAAAATATTGGAGGGAAAAAGATGGGGAAGAGAAAGGGAGGGGAGGAAACAAATATGTATTAAGCTCCTGCTGTGTGCCAGGCACCGTGTTAAGTGCTATACAAATATTTTCTCATTGGATTCACACAACAATGCTGGGATGTAGGTGCTATTTTTAGCCCCATGTTACCGTTGAGGAAACTGAGGCAAGCAGCGGTTAGGTGACTTCCTAACTGTGAAGTGTCTGAGGCTGGATTTAAACTTGTCTTGCTGATTCCAGGGCTAACTATTGGGACACCAAACTGGCAACGGAGGTTTGTAGCTGACAGATAGGTATAATAAAGGCAAGACCTTGGCCTAGGTGGGTGCACAATAACCTTGTCTCCTTAGATTTTTGTTTTCTTACAATTTTATGTTCGGGCAAAGCCAAAGAGTATCTTGAGAATGTAAGGAGCATTCTGATCTTTGAGTAAGCAGAGTCTGGAAGGAAAAAAAAAAAGACTTAATCTTAGCTTTAGGGTACTCTGCCTTCTTCTGTTAGCTGGGTGTGGTGGTTTTGACTAAACAGGAGTCAAACCCTAGCACCCTAGGTACTCGTCACTAGATGATAGGAGCCTGGAACTAAGATGGCCAATGAAGGGTTAAACTCAGAATCTGGAAGAGCAGGGATCAGCAGCCAGCAGACCATTGGCTACCAGGACATCTGCAGAGCAACTCCTGTCAGGGTACTAGTGGAGCAATGCTGAAGATGCCACAGTCACCACTGAGCAAACTCGATGAGAGCAAAGCCATGATATCACATCTATGACACTGTATGGGTTGCCCTTTCATGTGTGTGCCCTGGTCATGTTGTTGAGTGATTTCAGTGGTGTCCGACTCTTTGTGACCCCATCTGGGGTATTCTTGGCAAAGATGCCGGAGTGGTTTGTCATTTTCTTCTCCAGCTCATTTTACAGATGAGGAAACTGAGGCAAACAGGGTTAAGTGACTTGCCCAGGGTTACACAGACAGTAAATGTCTGAGGTCAAATTTGAACTCAAGAAGATGAGTCTTCCTGATTTCAGGCTCAGTACTCTATCCACTATACCACCTAGCTACCCTGCTCATACATGCTCCTTATGTACATACCCCTTCTGTATGATCCCTATGCATGACCATTTTCCCTACCAATGGAGCATACATTTGTGGGAGAGTATGACCTAGGTTTATGAGGGGAATGTTCTGAATTTTTTTTTCTTGCAATACTATTTCATGAAATGCCTTTGCTTTGAAGTACTTATGTTCTCTGGCTGACTAGCGATAAAGGAAATGTATCAGTGAGGACTTGAGTTATAGTTTATAGTGGATTTGGACCTAGAAAGTACCTTGAACTTGGGCTAGTAATTCTGGGAGCCCATGTAAGAGGGACATTTTCAGGTTTTTTGCATTTTTTTTCCCCTTCCTATCCTCTGCATTCCAGCTAAACTTGTCTACTTGCTTTCCCCTGTGCCTGGAAGTTACCCATCCTCAACTTAATGTTTTAGGATCCCTAACTTCCTCAAAGCTCCGCTCAAAGCTTACCTAAAGTAAAAGGCCTGTGCTGAGTCCCCGGTTACCAGCATCTCTATCCCAATTATTGCAGGGTATGGACACAGTCATGTAAACCTTAGCAGTGACTATCCACTGGGCTATGTACTCGCAGGGCTGCACTGACTCTAATGTTGTCCACATCTTCATAACAAACCCACTACCTTGCTTCAGCCTAGTGCTCTTCCCTAACTATGCTGAAAGTGAGAAAAGCCCTGTGTCCCTGAGAAGCCCTGAGCTAAGACCTGCCCCATCTCTCATTTAAGCTGTTTCCTAGCTGGAATTCACCACTTTATCACCTTGAAATCTCTACCTCCTTTCAAGCGTCAATTGAAGTGCCATCTGCTTTAAGAGTTCTTCCCCCAATAGTTAGTGCTTCTTCCTTCCATTCCATTGCTTTGTATTTTCCCATTTGTTTTACGTGTTGTTTTCCCCTAGCAGAACCTAAGTTCCTAGAGAGCAGGGGCTGTTTCACTTTGATTTAATGCATAGTGCCTAGCCTAAGAATTGAATTGACACTGTTGCAGATGTTTGGAAAGGAGAGCCTTGAAGGCCTCTGGGAAATAGAGTTAGGGGTAGGACTGGAAGGCAGTCAGGTGATGTCGCAAGAGATTTGCTCAGGGCTGGGCATGCAGTAAGCGCTCAAGTAATTAATCAAACTCAATTGCTTGAGTCATTAAGAGCGCGCTTGCCCACAGTAACCGCTGGACTCCATTTCCCAGAACGCCCTGAGACAGCTCCTGCTCACATCACCAATATCAATCTCCATTTTCTAGATGCCCTCCATAAATATCTGCATTCTCAAAACGTCTTTGAGCGCTATGAATTCTGGGAATCGTAGTTCAGCGGCATAGTCTGCACAGGCGCAGTAGTCCGTGGATCCGGAGGTCGGCTCTTTGTTCTTCTGGCGACTGGAAGGTGAGGTTTGCCCCTGGTCCTGGCTCCTCTTGCTTGCTTGGTTCGTAGCGTGCATCCCAGGAGTTACCGGCCTGGAGACAGACATGGCCCGGGAAGATTTTGGATGAGGGGGTTCTTCAGGGGTGTGTGGGTGTGGAGGGGGATTCCGGAGGGGGGGAGCAGAGGAAGGGGGGGTAAATCTGAGTAGGTGTTACGTCAGCCCTCCTGCTGTGAAGGGACTTCGGAGAAGGGCGGGGCCTGCGGAGTTTGGAGGGCCTGACGTCAGAAGCCGGGCAGGTCCTGGGAGGGGATGCTGGACCCTGGGTTTCATCTGGCTGCCTGTCCGATCCTGAACATGCTTTGGGAGGAGCTGAGTGTAAGCGTCCTGTGCCCATCCTGGGTTCGGTTCTAGGCGCCATATTTTAGGAAGGGCGTTAATAAACTGGAGTGGGTCCAGAGAAGAGCAACCAGGATGGGGATGGAGATCATGCTATTGGACGAGCAGTTAATGGGACTGGGAATGTTTAGCCTTGAGAAGAAAAGATGGAGGGAAATGGGATAGCTGGCTTTAAGTATTTAAAAGGGTTGGCATTCAAAGCCCTTCCTAATTTAGCGCCCCCTCCCCTCTCCTTTTCAGTCTTCTCACACCTTACACCCCAGCAGGTTTTCGGTCCAGTGCCATTAGCCTCCTTGCTGTCCCCTCAACAAGACAATCCATCGCTTGGCTCCAGGCATTTTCACTGGCTGTGCCTGGAACCCTCTCCTTGCTCATCCTTCTGTTGGCTTCCCTTGCTTTGTTCAAGTCCCACCTAAAATCTCACCTTCTACAGGAAACCTTTCCTGATCCTCCTTAATCCTAACAACTTATTTCTATTGATTATCTCCTATTTATCTGTAAATAGCTTGTTTGTACATAGTTGTTTGCATAATTTATCTCTTCCATTAGAAGGCAAGAACTGTCTTTTCCCTGTCTTATCCACAGGGCTTTTCACTCAGTAGGTACTTAATAAATACTTATTGACTCACTGACTATGGACCAAAACCTCTTAGGATCCTTAAGTTGCCTTCAAAACAGCTCAAATGACATCTACATTAGACCTTGACAGATGTCCACAGATGCTAATAGCCACCCTCTCTATTATTTGGTATTTATGTTGCATACATTTTATATTTATTTATATGTAAACATGTTGTTTCCTAAGCCCTGTGCTTATCAATCAACCTACAAGCATTTTTTAAGTGTTTACTACGTGCCAGTAACTGTGCTGGGCACTGGGGATACAGAGGAAGGCAACAGACGGTCTCTGCGCTCAAGGAGCTCACAGTCTAATAGGAGAGACAATATTTAAACAACAGTGTGCAAAGATAAATACTGGATAAATTGGAGGTATTCAATCAATAAACATTTATTAAATGCCTTCTGTATGTCAGACACTGTGCTAAACATTGGGGATACAAAAAAAGACAAAAGACAGTCCCTACCCCCAAGGAGCTTACAATCCAGTGGGGGAGACAACATGCAAACAAATATAGACAAAGCAAGAGATACACCGGATAAATAGGAATTAATTAACAGAGGGAAGGCATTAAGATTAAAAGGGGTTGGGGTAGGCCAGAGCAGAAAATGGGGAGGGTTCTAGGTATGAGGGGACAGTTGGAAAAAATACTGAGAGATGGAGTGTCTTCTATGAACAACTAGGAGACTCAAGTCACTGATTAGAATATTTTGTGGGGTTTAAGTTGTAAGAAGCCTGGAAAGGGGAGGGGTGGCAAGGTTGTGAAGGGCTTTGAATGCCAAACAGAGCATTATCATAGAGGGAAGGTACTAGTAGTGAGGAAGCTCAGGAAAGGCTTCTTTTAGAAGGTGGGATTTTTTTCTGGGCCTGGAAAGAAGCCGGTGAAACCAGGAGGCAGAAAGAAGGAGGAAAAAAAAATGCCTGGAGTTGGGAGATAGAGTTCCTCCTTATGTTCAGGACGGCAAGGAGGCCAGTGTCACTGGATTGAAGAATACATGGGGTATGGGGAGAGGAGGAGAAGGAAGGTTTAAGAAGACTGGAAAGGTCTGGAAAGGGACCAGGTAACAAAGTGCTTTAAAAGCCAAACAGAAGATTTTGTATTTGATCCTGGAGTTAATAGGAAGCCACTGAATTTATTGAATATGGGGTGAGATGGTCAGACTTGTGCTTCAGGAAGATCAGTTTGACAGCTGAGCGGAGGCTGGACTGAAGTAGGGAGAGACTTAAGGCGGGGAGACCCACAGACTATTGCAGTAATCCAGGTGGGAGGTGATGAGGGCCTGTGCTGGAGAAGTGGCGGTATTAGAGGAGAGGAAACACTGAGAAATATTATAAAGGTAGGAACAACAAGACTTGGCAACAAGTCATATATGAGAGGGAAGAGTTGAGAATGGTGCCTAAGTTATGGGTTCACTCCTAGATGTTTTATACATTTTGTAGTAGTTTTGAATGGAATATCTCTTATTGTTGCCTCCTAAGCCCAGAACATAAGTACTTAACAAATGCTTGCCTGCTCATTCTTTCTATCTATCTATCTATCTATCTATCTATATCTCCTTCCATCCTGGTTATTATCAGAACTTTATAAAAATATTGATGATTTTTGTAGATTTATTTTGTATTTCTACTACTTTACTCAAACCATTAACTATCAATAAGTTTCTTTACTGCTTCTCTGGGGTTTCCTAAGTAAACCATTATGTAATCAGTATGTAAGGATAATCTTGTATATATTTTGTGTTTATATGTATTAATAATAATAATAGCTAACATTTATAGAACAATTACTATGTGCCAGGTACTGTGCTAAGTGCTTTACAATTATTATCTCATTTGATCCTCACAACAACCCAGGGAGGTAGGTGCTATTATTATACCCATTTTACAGATGAAGAAACGGAGGCAAAAAGGGGTGAAGTGACTTGCCTAGGCTGACACAGCACACAGATAGTAAGTGTCTGAGTCAGATTTAAACTCGGGTCTTTCTGATTCCAAGCCCAGAGCTCTGCTCATAGCACCACTTAACCACTCCATTTATGTGTTGTTTCTTTGATAGAAAGCATGCTTCTCGAGAGCAGGAACTAAGCCCTCATTTTATCCAACCCCTTCATTTTACAGATGAGGAAATTGAGGTCCAGAGAAGTTAAATGACTTAACCAATGTCACAGGTGCATGTCAGAGGGCAGGATTTAAACCCACAGGTCCCCTGACTCCAGAATCAGTGCTCCTTCCCTTGTACCACCCAAAATCTTCTTCATGTATGGATTAGATGATGGTTTCTGAGGCCTCTTCCAACTCTGAGAATCCGAACTCAGTGCTGTTCAGACATAGCACCATGTTCTAGGTCAAGGTCCCCAACCTGTTAAAGGAAGATAGGAACTAGACTTGTGATTTCATTGGTACAGGGAACTCCCAGATGAAGAAACTCCACCTACTATTGCAGTTTGGCACCTTCTCTGCAATTTATAGTGAGTACCAAGAGATCAAATGACTTGCTCATAGTCACATGGCTAGGCAAGACTTACATGTAAGTCTTGGACTTGAAGGTCTCTTTGGCTTCAAGGCTAGCTCTCTATCCACTGTGCCATTCTGTTTCTGTTAAAAGAGATGACTTATTTATAGAATCGTAGGATTGTAGTTCTAGGATGTGAGGTCATCTGGACCAAACTCCTCATTTTACAGATAAGGAAACTGAGGCCCAGAAGATTTAAGTGACTTCCCCAGGCTCACAAAGATTGTAAACAGCAGAGCTGGCACTCAAACAGAGGATCTCAGACTCCCATTCCCCAATACTGTTTCCACCACATCACACAATTATCTGTAATGTTCTTCGAACGTAACTTTGTTAGAAGTTTTCCTAGAGCTTTTTGTTTTTACATCATAACATCAGTCATTTCTGTGTATAGGTTCCTCCTTTTTCCCTCCTATTTCGCTTTCCCCTCTCCCTCAAAAGAAAAAGTTAATCAAAAATAACCTCTCCTGAGATCTATCTAGCTGCTGTGGTTCCCTTACTGTCTGCTATCAGCAGGGAGGTGTCTCTTGTCTGATCTCTGGGACCACGACTGGTTTTTCAGTTGTTCAGAAACTGGCTTCCTTTCTAGTGCTGCATTTATTTATATTGTTGTAGACATCATGTACATCATTCTCCTGGTTCTGCTTATTTAACTGTGCATCATTTCATAGAACTTCCCATGTCTCTCTGAATTTTCATATTTATAAGATCCAAGCACTAGAACTGGAAGGACTCTGAGGGTATCTTGTGGGTGCCTAGATATGCATCCCAGCCCTCACATTTTATAGATGAGGAACCTGCAGCCTAGGGATGTCAAGTGACTTGTCAAAGGCCTCGCTGATACCAAGCGTACATCAGAGACAGAATTTGAACCCAGGGCCTCTGAATCTAGGGCCAGTACTATTTATTCATTATTCTTACTGCATAATATTCTATTATATTCCTGTAACACAGTGTGTTCACCCCTTCTCCAATCAACGGATATCCACTATGTTTCCAGTTCTTTACTTCCACAAAATTGGTATACATCGAAACTTTCTGTTTTAAAAATAGATATTTATCGATATCATTTGTTTTTAAATCATCTAGAGTTCCCCCTGCATCCCTTCTTTTTCCTCTCCCAGAGAACTGTCTCTTGTAATAAAGAATTTTTTCTTAAAAGAAAAAAGGAAGAAGAGTAAAATTTCAGCAGAGCTGATCAATATACTAAAAAAAATGGCATTATGTATAATGCGCTACCTTGTGACCCTGCCAGTCCTGCAGAGGAATAGGGGAAGTGTCTTCTCATCTCTCTGAACCTTTCTATTTTGGAGCCCTTTGAGAAACATCTGTATGCCTAGGGTTGGTGTCATTGGATCGAAGATAATAGGTAGTTTACTGGCTTTTCTTGCCACTAAACTAAAATTCCAAATTGTTTTCTGAAATAGTTGGACTAATGCACAGCTTCACCAACAGTGAAGCTAAGCAGTGTGCTTCTCTTCCAATTGCCCCTCCAATATTCACAGTTTTTGTTTTGCGTCATTTTTGCTAGTTTTCTGGGAGTGATTTGCGTTTCTCCCGTTATTAGTGATCTGGAACATGCTTTCATATGGTTGTCGTTAACTTACAAGCATGACTAATCTGGTCAGGCTTCCACTGCTCACCTGGCAGTGGACTGTACTGTATGTCTGTTGTCTGAGAGGGTAGGGATACTGGATTTAGAGTCTGAGTACCCGGATTTAAATCTTGCCTTTGCTTCTGACTTGGGGCAAATCACTTTATAGAATCACACCATCTCAGAGTTGGGAGGGATTTTAAAGTCTACCCAGTTCAGCCTCTACCTGAAAAAGAATTTTTTCTACAACAACCTAGGATCCATGGACTTCTTAAAAAAATATTGCGATCACTGTATTTCAGTATACTTGGTTTCCTTTGTAGTCCTCTGCATTTCGTCCCATGCCATAGGTTTCATCAGTTTCCCACAAGGATCCATGGCACAAAAAAAAGATGAAAACCCTTGTTCTACAACGTACCCAAGAAATGGTCACACAGCTTTGGCCTGAAGATGCACAAGGACGTGTTGGTTGTGAGGGGCACTACCCTTACAAAAAGTTATCCATTCCATGTTTTAATAATTAATTGTTAGGAAATATTTTTCCTTACATCAAGTTGAAATCTTCCTCTGCCACTTTTACCTGTTGCTTATAGGCAGCTAGGTAGTGTGGTGGATAAAGTGCTGGGTCCAGAATCAGAAAGACCTGAGATCTAATCTGGCCTCAGTCGTGTAATCCTGGGCAAGTCACTTAACCTCTGTTTGCCTTATTTTCCTCAACTGTAAAGTGGGGATAATAACAATCTTTTTAAAACAAAGTTTGCAGCTAGGCTGCAAAGTTGTGAAAATCAAATGAGATAATATTTGTAAAGTGCTTGACTTACAGTAGGCACCATATAAATGCTTATTCCCTTCCCTGTTCCCTTTTTCTTCTAGTTCTGCCCTCTGGGGCCAAATAGAATAGTCTAATCCAGGGGTGGGGAACCTCATTCACATGAAATTCCTTCAAATACTTAAAAACTGTTGTGTGTCTCCTATGTCTTCTGTCCTTCAGGCTAAATGTGCTTGGTTCATTCGGTTAACCCTCCTCTGGCAAACTTTCCAGGCTCTTTGTCATCCTGTTCTACCTTTTGTGGACATTCTCCAGTTTAACAATGTTTTTCCTAAGATGTTGTGCCTAGAACTGAATCCAATTCTACAGAAAAACTATATAGTCATATACACACAAGACTTTTCTTTTCTCAGGCACACAACAGGTTGGGTTCCCACCTTAGCCCTAACCTGCCAGGGCTTCCCTTTTCTCATCTGTAAAAAGAGGGTTTGATAATCTCTAAGGCCCTTCGAGCTCTAAATCCTATGATGCTATGAAGTATTTATTGAATGGACCAAACTCATCATGTGCTCATTTGTATGTCTAGGATGTCTACCTGTCTCTGTAGAGCCCAGGTTTGGACTCTGTGATGGTGCTGCCGGGCCCCTCCTGCTGACGCTGACCTATCCCTGCAGATCATGTGTATCAAGAAGTCTTTGGTAGGCTCTGCAGTGACCTAGGCTGGGGGCACCAGACACAGAGAGATATTATCTGTGTTGGGGAGACAGATCTGAGCACCAGGGAGAAGGTCCCAGTTAAAGTGATCTTGTTTTGGTGTCCCCCATCCTGCCCCTCGTCCTCAGCTTAAGCCCTGCAGGAAGGTGAAGGTGGAAGAGGATTCCCTGGGGATCAAGAATCTGTCCAAGAAGATCCGCCTTGAATTTTCTGAGCTTCCAGGCAGAGACTGATTGATAGGAGCAGATACTGGAACTGTTGGGGCTGGAACAAGTCTTGAACAGTTCTTGGGCGAAATCAGAATACTCAGGAAGCATCAAGGGCTAACTATGGAAGACTTGGCTTTGACTTTCTTGCTGGAAGAGAGAGGTGAGAATTACAAAGACAGGGTCGGGTGGCTGTGAATCTGTCCAGTATGGGAGAAGAAAACCACACTGGGCAGTCTGTGTGTGAAAGAACAATATAAACAGGGGATTTGACTCTTTCCCTTCCTGTTCCTCTCCTCCCCAAAAATGTATACTTATATGCCTGACCAGTGATTTCTGGCCTCTGAGTTGGTTTGTCCCATAGCCATAACCACATTGGTCACTAATGGTACTCTGATTTCCAGTTTTTGTCATGTCCAAGGTGTGGAAACATCTCTTTTTCTCTTAGTTAAACTGAGACAAGATTAGTTTTTCAAGGGGGTATTTGTACTATGAAGCTAAGAGGAAAAAAACCTAACTTTTATTATCATCCAAACAGAAACATGAACTTGGTAGCTTTTTTGGGTGCCAGGTTACGTTGTTGAGTTTGCCATTCGTTAAAACCTTAGGTCTTTCTCCCATGAACTGTCAGATACATCTCCTCCAGCTTGTGCAGTTGATTTTTTTGAACCAGAGTGCATGATTTCACAGGTACAGTAGAGAGAGTACTGGGCCTGGAATGAGGAGTCAGGAAGCCTCATCTTCCTGAGTTCAAATCAGATACTTGCTAGCTATGTGACCCTGGACAAGTCACTTAACCATGTTTGCCTCAGTTTCTTCATCTGTAAAATGAACTGGAGAAGGAAATGGCAAACTACTCCAGTATCTTTGCCAAGAAAACCCTAAATGGGGTCACAAAGAGTTGGACGAGGCTGAAATGACTGAACAATACCAGCAACAACATGATTTCATATCTGTCTCTATTTAATTTCATCTCACTCCATAAAATCTGCTTTGATGCCTCATCATGGCATGGAGGTAACTCGGAGTTCTGAAACAAGCTAAAGTTCAACTACACTGGTGAATACCATCCAGGAGGAAGGCTTGTTCCTGCTGTCTGAGGATCAGCCTAATTAAATGTGGTGAGGCTCGTTAATAGGATGTTAGTCACTTGGTGATGAATTCTTTGATATCAGCGCCTATGAAGCAGAAAGAAATGCTCTGGCTCTGTGCAGCTCCTTCCCTCCCACTGTCAGAAAAAGTGGCAGAGGGTGCTAAGGACCATACCATTTTTAGACCATCTCTCTACAAATATTATAATTATTGGTGTCCTGAGACCAGAAGACATAAAGAAGTTGCATGTAAACAGAAAGAAGGCTCATATTCTCCCATGGGAGAAAGAATGAAAAAGGTGGTGGAGTTGGTTTCATTTTGCATGATATCATGGGACAATTTTTTATCTTGTCTTGTCAAGCTAATGATGAGCATATATTCAGTGCAGGGACCACCATGAAGATAGTTACAGCTTATGCACCAATGTCTGTTGCAGAGGATGAGAATGTAGAGAAATTCTAATAGTAACTTGGTAAGATCTTTCAAACCAAGTCAAACACATACCTTGATATTGGTGATTTCAGTGTGATAGGGGGCTTAGATGAGAACAGCAAAAAAAAAAAAATTGGCTTATAGATTACTCATAAGCTTCATGCCTATAGATCATGAATACTTCTTCAAGAAAAGATTCTGAAGGCTAATTGGATATGAAGAACACCAAGCAAACAATGAAACTGACTGTTTTATCAGGTAGTATATAAATCAGTGGTTATCAATTAAGCAGTAGCTATCTACATGTGGTCATATTATTAATTGGTTAGAATAAATATCAAAATCAACACCAAATTAGAATGAAGGATAAATATGAGAAGACAATGATGAGATCTCCAATATGACCTACTAAAAAATCTGCTGACTCCGAAAAGTGAGAAAAGGACAAAAGTAAAGACAGTGAGTCTGATTATTTCTTAGAGAAGTTTAATCAATATAAAGTCATTGCCAGAACGTGGAGACTGAAGGAGCCTAGGACCTGCCTCAGTTGGGAAACACACTTGCCAAATGGACAGGCATGGAGTCTAAAGGCCAAACCAGTTTAGAGTTCAACTCCATTTTCAGGAAATTCTGCAAGCCGCTAATAATTATAAGCAATATCCTTGCAAATGACACAAAGTTTTGAGAGATAGGTAACAACTATGTGATGTGAGAGTTCAATAGAACTAAATCTGATATGATGAAATTAAGTAGGCATAAATGTAAAGCATACTTGGGTTCAAAAAAGTTATGACATATAGGATCATTTAGATTTGGAAGGGACCTTAGAGGTTTCTTATTCTGCTCTATATTTTACACGTGAGAGAACTGATTTAAATAACTTGCCCGAGGTCATACATAGTGCCTATGTGCTAAATGCAAGGAATAACAGACTCCCTTTCCTTTCCTTCTCCCTCCCAAGTATTGCACTAGTATCCATGAAATAGGAAAGGCCTCTAGCATAGTGACTGGTTCTTCTATGTAGAAATTATAAGAAAACATGGATAAGAATCACAGGGGATATTAAGGTGCAGGTCAGTTTCAGTCTGCGTTGGCAGGGGGCGTTCCCTCATTTAGGAGATCATGGACCCGTTGGAGTGTCTTAGGAGATTTGGCCTCTTAGTCTAACTTGTCAAAGCCCTTTGCGATCCTGATTCTCTAATCCTGCATTGGCTGTCTTGCTCAGTTTCATATCATCTGCAGATCTGATGAACATGCTTTCTCTGCTTCCATCCAAGATAGTGGTAACAACAGACAGAGTTTCCACGGTACTATAGTACTACAGTCTTCTAGGTTGGCATTGCTCCATTAATCTCTGTTCTTTGAGCCTGGTCCTTCAATCACTTATTAAAGCATCCAATTAAAACCTTCCAGTTGATAATGTCTCCATTTGTCCATAAGAATCTCATGAGAGACTGAAAAATGTTTTGCTATATTCCAGGTATCCTATGTCCACAGCATTCCCTGTATGGCTCTAGTCTAGTAAGCCTATCAAAAAAGAAATGAGGTTAGTCTGGCATGACTTCTTGTAATCCGTCTCCGCCTTTTTTCTTTGTAAGTGCACAGAGACCGTCCTTTTCATAATGTGAAGCAGTATCATTCAGTGGATAGAGCTAGATAGCACAAAGGAGAATCAGTAAGTCCTGAGTTCACATTTGGCCTCAAGACACTTACTAGCTAGGTGACCCTGGTTAAGTCACTTAACACTGTCTGCCTCAGTTTCCTTATCTGTAAAGTAGGGATAATAATAGCACCTATGTCCTGGCATTGTTGTGAGGCTCAAATGAGATAATATTTATGAAGTGTTTAGCACAGTGCCTGGCACATTAGTAGACACTTAATAAATGTTTCCTTCTGTTGTTTCTCTCTAGGACTATAAACTTTCAGTGCTCCAGCAAATTAAGACTTTAGGTTGTATATGTAGTAGGTACCTGATTGTTGTTATTGTTGTTGTGTTGTGTTTGTCTGGAGATGGCCCTGGGTGTAGTGGGAGATGTTGGCCTTTTTAAGCTAAGGTCTTCTCAAGTTCTCACTTAGAATGAGGTGATGCCCGTTCAGTGAATAGGCCTCTTTAAGAAGTGAGTCAAGAGGGATGGTCCCTTTAATTAAAAAAAAAAAATCAAACTGGGAGGAGAAGACCCTCAGGGTTGCTTACCAGAGAGAAACAGTTTCTATTTACATTCGTTTGTGAGCCAGGAGGGCCCAAAAAAGAACCATTAAGTGGTGCTTGGGCAGGGACCTATTGTTGTCCAATCTATGAGCTCCTGAGTGAATTGGGTTTAAGGCTTGGTCTCTTACCAAGAAATCTAATTGGGAAACCCCAAGTTAAGTAGGCAGCTTTCCCCTTCAAAAAGGGGAAGGGGGAGGAGAGGAGAAAGGGGAGGAGCTGAATTGCTCAACTGGAACTGGCCCCAACTGGGTGTCCATTCAAACAGCTCGGACTACTCACAGGTTGTGTTTGTCCTTAGTTCTCAAAGAAGACCATGACATCAGGGAGTTGATGACAGGACTTGCAATTGACTTTGATTTGAGTAAGGGAGTGCTGTGCAAGGTCACCAGCCTCACTTTCTCATCAGGACGACTGGAGATGGCCCCCAGAAGGTACCAATAAGCATTGGTAAAGGGAATTCCTTTTTTGTCCTACTCTGATGGAATCACAGGTCTGATGAAAGAGAATGTGTTGTAGAATTTTCCTACTAAGTAAATTCAAGCTTTCTAGTCCATCCTCTGAAGACTCTGAATCCACTTTTAAAAAAATCAGGACGCTTGTTAATTTCTAATTCTATTGGACTTTGCCATCTTATAATCTTGTCCCAGATTTCCTGGACAAGAGTTTAATTGGGCAATAAGTTAACCTCTCAGCTATGTGCTTTCACGTCAGACATGACATCAGTAGAAGGGCTGGTTGTTCTGGAACTTTTTTTTTTCTTTTAATTTTCTGAGGATAGCCAAAGTCTTTATCATACTGGCTGTCTTGCCCTTGAGTAGAATTATATCTTGATGCCTACTCTCAACCAACTCTTCTGAGGACAGAGGAATGAGAGTAAGGACAGTTGGTATAGATCAGATTAAGGGCTCTAGGATGGATTTGGACCTTAGCTTTTCAATCACTTACCTTTCCAGAGCATCTGCCAGAATCACATGGACCAATACAGAGTCCCATGAACATTCCCAACTCACCATAATGAAGACACAAGGGGAGCAAGGCCTTGGCCTCAAGGCTGCTACAGTGGTACTCTTACTCTATTCCTGGGGCAGGCCAGCAAGAATAGTGGATACAGTGGGGCCTCCTGAGGGAGAGACAGGAAGTATTTGCCAAGGAAGTCAAACCACCCCCACCATCTTGACTACTAGCTCCCTCCTTGGGAAGAGCAGTGACTCCCAGTCCACCAGACCTGCTTCCACTTAACTCCCTGGCCGTGATTGAAGGGAGAAATTGTAGAATGGGGGTCCACCTTCCTTATCACCACAAGCAATAACTGCTGACCACTTGCCACCAACAGGCAGGTGAGCACAAGAGCCTTTGAAGTGGTAGCACCTTGAAGACTTCCAACCCAGCCTTCACAGTCATCATCTGGGGAAGCAACTCCTGTGGAGAAGGGGCCAGTCAACTCCCAGGCAAATCAGCCTTGCTGAAGCAGCACCCTGAAGCAAGGCAGGAGGCAGCATGTGCTGGGCAGATCAAACTACCATCACCACCTTGGCCACCATCTCCCTTTAGACAGCAGTGGAGACAGCCCAGGACCGGAACCCAACAGCCTGGGGGAATAGCAGTGCTTCCTACCATTGTCTTAGGAAGCAAGCCCTGCAGAGATGCAACCTGGCTACTGCTTCTGCAGATACTGAAGCCACAGCTACTGAGGACCTGGGCAAGAAAGGTCTTGTCACCAGTGCCACCTTGGCACTGTCAAATGGCTCTCCATCTGACACTGATATGAATTTTATCAGTGGAAATTACATTAAAGAGGAGGCACGCCCATCTGTATTGCTGCTGCCCCCAAAGGACCTTGAGATCTTTCCATCTGACTTCCAATTAAAACCAATATGTGATATCTTCTCCATTAAAATTCAAGTTCCTTTGTCTTCTATTTGTATCCCCTGCACTTAGCACAGTGTTTTGCATGTAGTAAATACTTAATAAATACTTTTGTTCATTCATTCTTTGATTCACTCATTCCCAGTCTCAGATGACCTCCCTGCCCACTCATGGTGAGCTCTGCACATCACTACACGCTCTGGTTATAGGTAGTGATGCTTCAGCTCTGTTTCCATGATCTGATTCCAAGGGCAGTTCCAGTGTATTCTACCCATAACTCCATTCAGCTGTTCTCCATGACTGTGGGAAATTTTTTCCATAAGCACAGAGAGGTTGAATTGCATGCCCCATATCACATAGCACATAAAGGACACAGTTGTGGGTTCAATCTGTGTCTTAATCCCAGACTACAGATCTGGGCAAAACCTGAAACCTCTGGCCACAGAGATAGTGTTAGGAGGTCTTGGGAATTAATGTCCCCTGGCCTCTCTCTTTGCTCCTAAGAAGGGGTGGGGCAACTTCTGTGCTCCTTTTGATCTCTTACTCTGTAGATACTGTCCTGGAGGTGTTCGGGCAATTTATCCTGGTAAGTTTGGAAGCTAAAAGGCAGGACTGGTCTCTCTCATGATTCTTTTCTTCTTCCCCAGCTCTGCTTTCTGAAGACTCTGCTCTTTCCCAAGCAAGGAGTCTAGAGGAAGAAGTATTGACTTCTGGGTTTCTGACAGCCAGGATGCAGGTGAGTTAGGGCTCTTTCTCTTTTGAAATGCCGTTTTCGTTTTCAAGTGTGACGCCATTTTCTTCCTTTGCTCATCACCCCTTCTTTCATGTAAGGCCTATAGGTGAACCTGAGCATTGATTGCTTTCACCCAGAAAGCTGGATGGTGTAGAGCTGGCATTTGAGTAGGGCAGGAAGCTTAGGGAGCCTCTGGATGCAACAGATCTTAACCTGTGACTTATGGACTGGTTTTTTAGAAAAAATATTTTGATAACTGTATTTCGATGTAATGTGTTTCTGTATATTATTAAATCCTGCGTATTTTATTTTATGTATTTGAAGACATTATGCTGAAAGGGCTTCATAGACACCACCTGGCTGCCAAAGTGGTCCATGACACTGAAGAAGTTAAACGTCCCTGATCTATTTTATCTATCCATTTATTTTACACATGAGGAAATCAAGGAGCTACTAGAATCAAAATGAGTTTCAGAGATTGGTTGTGCCTTATCTCTTATCGTTGTCTAGTTGTTTTTCAGTCTTGTCTAATTCTTCACCACCCCATGTGGGATTTTCTTGGCAGAGATTCTGGAGTGTTTTGCCATTTTCTTCTCCATCCCATTTTACAGATGAGGAAACTGAGGCAAGCAGAGTTAAGTGACTTGCCCAGGTCCCCAAGCTAGTAAGTGTCTAAGGCCAGATTTGAACTCAGGAAGAGGAGTCTTCCTGACTTAAGGCCCAGCACTACTCAGCTACCCTGTCTCTTATTACCTGTTAGTTTTCCTTTTCAGTCCCAAATTAGGCCTTTAGACTGCTTGGTGTATTTTATCTTGCTACAGTTCTCCAGGCCTATCTTGTTCTAGCATGAGTGTCTTTGTGCTAGGCAGTCTGGGACTAGATAGATTTCTTTTATATGTATTTCTTATGTATAGTGGCAGCTGGGTCTGGAGTCAGCAAGACCTGGGTTCAAATCCAGCTTCAGCCGCTTTCTAGTTGTGTGACCCTGGGCAAGTCACTCAACCTTTTTCTGCCTCAGTTTCCTCAATTGTAGAATGGGGATAATAATACCACCTATCTCCCAGGATTGTTATAAGGATCAAATGAGATGATATTTGTAGTCCTTAGCACAATGTCTGGCACATAGTAGGTGCTTGATAAATTCTTCCTTCCTTTCCTCCCTCCTTTCCTCCTTACTATTAACTACCCTCAACCTAGTGTATAATTTCTGAATTTGTATATTTTTTCCTCGTAGTAGAAAGTATGCTTGTCTGTAATGTGCAGAGATAAGGGAAAAATCAAGAGAAGGGAAGTAGATGCCAGAACTGGACATCAAGATGATATGGTCGTGGCAGAATGGGGAGGATTTGTAATTAGGTATGATTGGGAAGCAACTGATTGCTAGTGCTTTGAGTCTGAGGGTCAGTAAATCCTGAAGTGTTAGAAAGTAGTGGAAAGTGAAAGTGAAGGTGTCCTAAGAAGTTGGCTTTCTTCTGCTAGTCCCAAAGCTGACAACTAATCCCTCAAAGCCCTCAGTGTCCTCTAAAATGTGCAGGCAGCACATAGAAATACGATTTGACTCTATTACCAGTTTTATCTGAAATCTACCGTGATAACTATATTAGCTGGATGTTCAATAAAGTAATCTTTTATTTTGCACTTCTTGGCACTGTGGGTGAGACAGTCTGCTCTCATCAAGCTTATTATTATTTTACTTTCCTTTACTTTCCTTTAATCTTTGGTGGAATAATTGGGAGGGTTTTAGTCATTCTCTTCTCTTTTTTATTTAATCAATTTTACAATAAAAATATTTGTAATCCAAACAATTGTGTTAAATATACAAATTTTTCTTGCTTTCAATTTTTAAATGATTAAAAATAGATAATCCAGTTTTTTTAAAAATACAATATGGCACAAGATGTGAATCTATACCTGTTTTTTTCATACAGCTGTATGATTTTCCCAACAGTTTTTCTGAATGAATTTTTTTTACTTTTTTCTTACTACTTTTTGGTCACTAGGTTTATCAAGCCTGAATCTGGCTTAAGCATGTTAGGCTATATATCTGGTTTCCCTGCTTTGTTCCACTGGTTATCCAAGTTTTTAATATGACCTGATTTTTTATGATGAACTCAATAAGATAACAAACAGTGACTCACTAAGCGATCAGTCAGTAAGCATTTATTATTAAGTGCCTTTGTGCTGGGCAATACTGAGACAAAGATAAAACAACCCTTGCCTTCAAGGAGTTAATATTCCATCAGGGGAATCAAATGTGTGTATATTTATATTCACATAAATATGCATTTATATATACACAGGAACAGGTAATGAATAGTAACTAAGAAAACAATCTGAGCGTAGATGACTTATTGGTTAAGCATTCAAATCCCCAGTTAGTCCAAAGACCCTAAATGCAGAGTAAAGCAGATTTTTATAGCCCCCCCCCAAATCCAAAAGGTCCAGTTAATTATAACAAAAACAATTAACCAGGATACAAAATTAGGTTATCTATTTCTAGTTGGAGGAAAGTTTAGGAGCTTTCCAAGTTGGGAGGGGGATGGGTACATTTTGGGTTCCTCTATTCATAAAATGAAAAAATGTTGATTAATTACATCTACCTGCATGTATGAAACAATAAATGACTTATTTAATCTAGTTTCCCATAGTTGAATAATAAAAAAATGACACAATGAAGGAAAATACATGTGGCAGCACAACATGGAGTCAGTATTCAAAGGTAGAATCTGATTAGTTCTTCTGATTTTCACACTAAACTAACTGCATTATGTACATGATCTTCATTTTATCTCATCATATACTACATCATATACTATGTTTATATATGGTAACATATACCTCATTTGTATATAGTAATATATAAATGTAGTATGTGATAAGATAAAATGAAGACCATGTATAAAATGGTCTCTTCTCTTGCTCTCTCACCCCACCTTTCCTTGAACCAGCAGGTCTGGAGTTTCTAAATAAGGACTACCGCTATGTGGCTACAATTCAGATTCTTTTAGGGTCCTAGGGACATCCTTGTTGTAGGGGGATTATACTCCTACTACATGCCTTTCCAGTTCCTGAGACCTCATCATTGTGCTTCCCATTTATACAAAATTAGTCACACCATTAGCTCTTAAACACAAAATGATTACTTAACAGTAAGGTAAAGTCAAGAATAATGATAATGTCACAGGTAATATAAAGCCATGTTGGAATGATTATGAATATATATGATACAGATATATCACAGTCTCCCCATAAACCTGGACCAATACACACAGTGTCTGTGGACACAAAGAGGAATCTAGCATGGGGCACAGGAGTGGGAAAACCCACGTATCCAGGGCAACTTTCCTTTGACCTGCAGACCTTTATGTCCTTGGTCGTTTCAGGAACAGTCTGCTTCACTCAAGGCTGCTTCTTTTCTAGCTGCTTCCTTTCTGATCCTTATCACTGTCCTACTGGACAAAGCCTCTTCTCTTCTGTACTTGAACTGATGAAGCAGCGATAAACTTTTAACTCACAGTCACCCTTAACAAGGTGATGAAAAAGTATGATGGTATCGTAGTGTCCAGCGGTTCCCATAAACCATGGAACTGCAGAGTTCCTCAGTTTGGTTCTCTGGGCAGTACATGAAAGCCCAACCAGTTCTTTGCTCAGTAGGTTTCTGTTTTATTTAATCACCCCTTAGCCTCTTACAGCGAGCAGAGTAGAATTCACAGCAAAACTCAGTTTGGCTCTCTGGGCAACGTAGATAAGCCCAGCCAGCTATTCACTCAGTGGGATTTGGCTTTGGCCAATGGACTCCAGGTCTCTTATAATAAAGTAGTTACAAAGTCTGTCTTTTCTCCTTATTCCTCCTTTTCAAAGCAGAGTGGACAGTAGAGTGCAACCAGGCACCTCAGAGAGGTTTTAACCATTCATGTTATAGGTCAAGCTGGAGGGCAGTAGTTTAAATTGCATCCAAATTCAGCTCTCTTCCAGTGAGCTTACAGGCTTTCTTGCCAGCTTCAGAGCCAGGAAGACCTTGGTTCAAGTCCTGTCACTGACACCTACCGACTGGGTGACCTTGGGCAAGACTTTGAGATGCAGAGAAGGTGCCAACCTGCATTGGTAAAGGGGATTTCCTCACAAAGGAAAGCTCTTTACTAGTGAAATCACAGGTATATCCCTATCCCTATGTAAACATATAAAATAATGCAGTATAGCTATATTTCAAGCATCTGTGATTTCATCATTGACCAACTCCTTCCCATCTTAGCAGATGGGAAGTAGACGGGCATCATGAGAGTTCTTGTGACTAACAAGGCTGATAGGAGGGGCAGGATGGAAAAGCAAAATATGAACCAAAATCTGAACTCCTCGCAAGGCAGAAGTGGCTTCCGAGAGGTGATAAGTGATAGCAAAAATCTGTAGAGGGCAGAAATATGTGTTTAAAATGAAGACAGCCTATGCTTAGGGAATAGCAGTTTCTTAGAATGAAGAGAAGTAGTGAGAGGTTGGTAGATCAGAGAGTCACAGAACCTCAGCATTAGAAGAGAGCTCTGACACCATCCAGTCCAACCCATACCTGAACAAGAATCTCCTGGTCTGGAAGTGATAGCAGAGAACAGGAGCAGGCTGACCGTTCTACCCCTCCTTTTCAATGAGAGGAGGTGAAACTTCCAGAGAAGAAGGTAGAAGGGCATGAGGTGAGGTTCAGGGAAAGGCAAGTTTTTGTTAGGGGGAGGGATTGGGGGGTGGCGTTTCCTCCAGTGGATTGGGGGTTCCCAGGGGGTACTAACAGTACTAAGCAGGTGTACATTGGACAGTGCCTCTAATACAACTGGCTCAACAGTTGTGTGCAGTACCTCATTACCATCTCCTTGGACTTTCATGAAAATCTAATTATTTTTCCTTTCTCAATTATCTTCCCTACTCTAACCTGGCCTTCAGATTGCTCCCAGATTCATCTCTCTTGTGATAAGATCTTATCATTCCAGCTTGAAAAACTTTATTAGCTCCGTATTCCTTGCCAAAGGGGAAAAAGGAAGGGAGTAAGTATTTATATAACACCTATGATGTGCCAGGCACTGTGCTAATTCCTTTCATAAATATTATCTCATTTGATCCTCATAACAACCTTGGGAGGTAGGTGGTTTTATTATCTCCATTTTAGAGCTGAGGAAACAGGCAAACAGAGGCTAAGTGACTTGCCCAAGATCCCACAGCTAGAAAGTATCTGAGACTGGATTTGAACTCAGATCTTCCTGACTCCAGACCCAGTATTCTATCCACTGCACCATCAGCTACCTCTCAAGCAAAGTTCTAACTCCCTAACTTGGTATTCAGTCCATAATTTGGTACCACCCTACTTTTCTACCTTCATCTCTCAGTATGCCTCACATTGTACTGTCTACTTGACATTGTAATGACCTTCCTGTTCCCACTTCTGCCTTTTGAAATCCTGCCCATCCATTAAGGCTCAGAAGAAAGACTATCTCCTCCCTCATTTACCCCTAACCCTCCAGTTGGTATTGGTCTTTCCCCACCTTTGACCTTCAGAGCACTTTCTTTTACCTTCCTTTTACATGTTTATTATCTATCATTTTGTATTATAGTTATTTATATATGTCTTCACTTGATTCTCCCTCCCTTTCCATTCCCCTTCCAGTTGTGGTTCCATATAAGGACAAAGGTCATTTTATTTAGTTTTTGTGTTCCTTCCACTACCTGGCATAGTGCTTTGTATGAAGTAACTATGGAGACCTGGGATGAATGAATCAGTGGTTTGGCAGAGAGAAGATCTGGCTTTGATTTAAGCTTCCACCACTCCACCACTGTTTCCTTGGGCAAGTTAGGTAACCTCTCTAGCTCTTAGTTTCCTCATCTGTGAAATGATAGGGCTAAATTAGTTGATCCCTGGTCCAGGGTCCCTTCTGGCTCTAAATTCTAGGATTGTATGTGATCATATTAATAGTATGGTTCAGAGGTTAAAAGGAAAGTGCTTGGGGGGGCCCTTTTGGAATTTAATTTGTGAGCATGTTTTTGAGGAATGAATTAAAACTATCTAGCCATGTGCCCTCAGGGTCTAATATAAAGTGATTAGATATTTAAAATTTGACTTGAGTCATTCAAAAACCTAAACACTGTGGGCACAACTCCCTCTACTGTGATACTATTCACTTCATGTCTCCCCAGGGTCCATATTAGGTGTTGTCCCAGGCTAAGCAGAAATGTGCTTGGTATTTCAGGAATCTGTGACATTCAAGGATGTGGCTGTGGACTTCACCCAGGAGGAGTGGAAGCAACTAGACCCGGCACAGAGGGACTTATACAGGGATGTGATGTTGGAGAATTACAGAAATTTGGTCTCATTGGGTAAGGACATCATTTAACTCTCATCTCAGAATTTACCCACTAGGGTGACTGAAGTGTTTTGATTTTAGGGATTTACCTGGGTTTTGGCTTGATGTGTAGAAATATCCAGCAATAACTTGGCATATGGGGAGATCCAGCATGGCGTCGTGCATGGATCATAGACCTGGAGACAGGAAGACCTGGGTTCAAATCCTGTCTTAGAAGCTTACTAGCATTGTGAACTGAGACAACCCACTTAATCTTTGTCTGCCTCAGTTTCCTCATCTGAAAACTGAGGGGGTTAGATTTGATAATCTCTGAGACCTCTTCTAGCTCTGAATCCATGAACCTGTGATTGTGTGATAAGTTAGTACTATGATCTTGTGATCCCTTTAAGGTCAGGAATCGCAGATTTTCAGAGTTGGAGAAGACCTTAGAAGTCATCTAGTCCAACCCATACCTGAACAAGAACCCCTTTACATCATACCTGGCCAATGGCCATCCAGCCTTTGCTTGAAGGCACCTCCAGTGAGGTGGAGCCCACTAGTTCCTAGAGCAGGAACTAGTTCCCATTATACAGGAACAAGGTGCGAGGTCTTTGTTTTTACATCTGGAAATCACAGCTTCACTCTGCTGCCCCTGAGGAGGTTGTACATTTCCTACCCTCTGTTACCCTGGGTCAAATAGTCTCCGCTAAAATCCCAGTGCAGATATCTGGAGACATAAAAGATTCCCATCCTTTTAGCAGGAAGCATGTCATGTGAATTATTTTCTTTCTGAGCTCAAATCAATTCTGGATCCAATTATCCCCATGTTTTCCAGTACCTAGTATGGTGCTTGGAATATTGAAGCCTTGTAAAAAAAATTCTTGTTACATTAAATTGTTTGCAGTTCACATCCCCCTTCAAAAGTCTACTGTCAGAGTTGTACCACCCTTTGGGACTTCCTAGTATATCTTCTTTTCTCTCAAGAGAAACAGGATAGGATTGAATTCTCAGATGGCTCTCTGTCCCCAAAACTTTCTGATTTCTTTCTCCATGAGCAGGACTTCCAGTTTTTAAACCAGATGTGATTTCCCAGCTGGAGAGAGGAGAAGCTCCATGGACTCCAGAAGTCCCAAGAAGCACTTGTTCAGGTGAGGCATTGAAAACCAGGGAGTAATTGTTAAGGAATATGTCATCTGACCACTTAGTGGACGGCATCTTTAAATGTTGAACAGGGCCCATAGACCTGTGGAGAAAGGCTGTGTCTACTGAGCATATTTCTCATGTATCTTCATCTTTTGCTTAAATAAATCACTTTCCTACTTTCATTTTTTCACTCCTGTTTTCTTCTAGTCCAAGATAAAACTTATTTTCTTTTTTCTTCCTTTTTTTTTTTAAAAGAAAACCAACTTGAAAATGTCAGTTCTGTAGTTTTCTCAGGGTTTGACATTAGGTTTATTAATCTGTCATTTACAGAAATAACCTGTTTTCCCTTTCTAAAAAGTTAGACATTTCCCCAAAGATTACCAATTCTGCTTTTCCGGTAATATCAACGAGTTCTCCCAGTGTAATTTAGTAACTGGGCAGCTCGTTTGTTAATTCTATCTTCTCTCCTATCTTGGACTCCAGTTGTCTTTTAACAATGCTTATTTTACCCTTTTTAGATTTATGATCATTCTTCTTAATCTAGAATTCTGGAAACTAGAATATATCATAAAGCAATTTACTCTCTCAGAGAGAGCAGGGGCCATTGACATTTTTCTTTTTGTTTCAGGTTCTTTTAGTCAGGAGACTAAGTGGGAAAACAAAGACTCAACTCCAAAGCCTGGGTTTTGTATGGGAGAGCCATCTAAGGAACTTCAACTCCCACAAGATGGGTACTGGGATTTCAAGTTGGGATCATCTTGGGAATATGATGTAAGGTTAGAGGGGGATACAGACAACCAGGAAAGACAATCTAGGCAAGTGATATTCATCCCCAGAAAAGCTTCTAATAAGGTGAATGTTAATGAAGGTAATACATATGGTTTCAGTCTGGGGTCAATTCTTGATCCACAACAGCTGTTTGCTACAGGAAAAAGTCTACATCAATGTGATGTGCTTGAAAAAAGCTTCAAACAGTTTTCAGAGCTAATTAAATGGAATAGAATTTCCTTAGGGAAGAAACTTTTTAAGTATAATAAATGTAGGAAGCCCACCAGTTACCACTTAGACTTGGTTCAGTATGATGGAATACGTATTGGAGAGAAACTTTATGAGTGTCATGAATGTGGGAAAGCCTTCAACTGGGTTACACACCTTACTGAACATCAGAGAATCCATGCTGTAGAGAAGCCCTATAAATGTAATGAATGTGGGAAAGCGTTCAGCAAACACTCCTACCTTAATCAACATCAGAATGTTCATACTGGAAAGAAACCTCATAAATGTAATGAATGTGGGAAAAACTTCAGCCAGAGGGGACACCTCACTGAACATCAGAGAATTCATTCTGGAGAGAAACCTTATAAGTGTAACGAATGTGGGAAAGCCTTTGGCCAGAAGGCACATCTTACTGAGCATCTGAGAATTCATACTGGTGAGAAACCCTATCAATGCAATCAGTGTAGAAAAGCTTTTAGCCAGAACTCGTCTCTCATTCTACATCGGAGAATTCATACTGGAGAGAGACCTTTTGAGTGTAATGAATGTGGAAAAGCCTTCAGCCAGAAGGGACATCTTACACAACATAGGAGAATTCACACTGGAGAGAAGCTCTTTGAATGCAATGAATGTGGGAAATCTTTCAGCCATGGATCATCCTTTACTTATCATCAGAGAATTCATACTGGTGAGAAACCATATGAATGTAATGAATGTGGGAAAGCCTTTAGCCAGAATTCATCCCTCACTCTACATTATAGAATTCATACTGGAGAGAAACCCTTTGAATGTAATGAATGTGGGAAAGCCTTTAGGCAGAGGGGAAATCTTACTGAACATATGAGAACTCATGTGGGAGGGAAATCCTTTTAGTGTTCTGAGTGTGAGAAAGCGTTTAGCCACAGAGGTGATACCTGTTGAGCTCTGGAGAATTCACAGCTGTGAAGAACTCAATGAAAGATTAAAAGAGGGTCATTGCATCAGCTGTCAGTCCATCTGAAACATCAGACAATCCATACTGAAGAGGGAGCCCTGTGAATGTTTTGACCGTGAGAAAACTTTTAGGATCATGCATCAGAGATTTCGTGCTGGAGTTTAACTCCACATAGGGATGCTGTAAGGAGAACATTATGAAGACTTAACACTTGTTCAGTAGGGGATGGGGATTGGATCTATGATTTCATCTATATGATAAGCTCCTGAGTAAGGACGTTCCTGTACTGATGCAAGTCAGTGCCTCCTCTGCAACTTAGGGTCTTTGCTGGTTTCCTAGAGCACTAGAAGGTTAGGTGATTTGCCTGGGGTCACAAAGTCAGTATGTATCTGGGACGGGATTAGAACCTAGGTCTTCCTGGCTTCAAGGCCAATACTCACGTACACACTACACCACACGGGGAGGGTAAAGATTTCATTGTTTGTCACCATCTATATTTGTTAGTCATCTGAAGGGAAAGATAACCCTGTCTTTTCTTGTCTCGCTCTCTTCTGTTAGCCACATTAGTTGTCATCAGGTGGCTACAGAGTGATCTATGGAGAATACGGTGTGTGTGTGCTGGTTTAAGGGCTGCAGTCATGCCTAAATTGTTATAATGTTCTTTAGTGGACTGATTAAACTTTAATAACTTGTTAGAACAAAACAGGAATAACCTAAGATGGCTTTCTTGCCTGAGGAGGTGTCTTTGTATGTGGGTATATATGTGTGTGTCTTTGTAGGTGTGCATGTTTGTGTCTGTGTGTATGTATGTGTGTGTGGGGGGAGAAATTGCTTAGAGACTGCTTGTATCTCATCCCTCTGAGATGAAAATGTATTCTTCCTGAGCCTAGATGGGTCCAGTTTAAGCCTATTGTCTTGCCCTGAAGCATCTAGTGTCAGAACTGGAAAGGCCTTTAAATTAGATCACTGTTACCTGTAGCAGCTAAGAATAGGGCTGAGAACAAGAAAGGAGGTCTTACATTCCACTTCCTGAAGGTAGGAGATGTGGAAGTTTCAAGGAGAAACCAGCGTGAGAGAGAATCTATGAACTTCAAGCATAACTGACTGAGAATGGGATCTATGTTTAGGAGTTATGGTAATGATTGTGGGTCTGCAGTTAATCTGTGGTATGTTCAAGGCCACTCTAATGATATCAAGGCTTGGACAGACTATTAGGTTCAGTTTTTGGTGGGCAATGGACTTTTATTAGTCACCTGTACACCTGGTTGTGGTACCTGATAGACTTCAGTGGGCTTGCAAATCTGCAGCAGAAGCAAAGCCTTATTATAGAATTCTATCATGCTACCCACTTGCCTTCCCTCTGATTTTTCCTCAAGTTCCTCCCTAACTGCACTCCATATTCTTCCCACCCACTCAACCTCATGTGCCCCATTATACCCTTGCACTTCTGGGTCTTGACCTTACAAGAGATCCCCTATACCCAAATAACACTTTTGCTCCAGTTTCCCCTCTTTTTTCTTATACCCCCAATATGCACAGCAATAGTAGTAAGAATAACTGGTGTTAATGTAGTGCTATAAAATGTCCAAAGAACTTTGCACACAGCATCTCATATAAGCCTCACAACACCACCAGGATGGTAGACTCTCTCCCCACAGGTATATCCCCAATCCCTAAGCAGTAATCAAAATACAATAAAGCCATCCGATTATCCTCTTTGAGTTTACAACTTTTTAATAAAGCAAGCCAGGTGCAGCAGACAGAATAATCCCTGGCCTAATCTTAAGATCTGTTGAACATCCTGAAAAGTGTTTCCCAGTAAATATTGTTTTTGCCCCCACAGCTTTCTCTTTCCATGGTCTGATTTGATCTTTAGGTAGACTTCAGCAGTCCCCAAGAGTTCCGTCCCGTCCTACGCGTGGATTCAGTAGGGATATAGATCGAATAGCATCCCTCCAACCACTTGGTGCCAATGGGAAAAGTCCAGGCATGAAATGAAGTAAACAGGAATAGTATTTGTTACTAAGCTGAGCAGCTACCTTTTATGAGGAGTCTCGTTCCCCAGACTGTCCAGAAATGGAGATCTTTGGAAGTTCATGTTACTCGCTTTTATCCTTAGCACTGAATTTGAAGTCAGAGGTCTTCTTTGAATTCCATCCCTGCTGTTTATAACCTGTGTGACCTTGAGCAAGATACTTAACCTCAATGGGCCTCAGCTTCCTCATGTGTAAAGTGAGGGAGTTGGCATACATCAGGGCTTCTTAAACTTTTTCCACTTGGGACCCATTTTCATGTATCAGCAGTGTTCTTTGGTGTTTCATGGCCTGAGGGCATGTGCAGTGCAAAGTGCACAAGCTTTGTGTTCAGAACCAAGGCTGCAGTGAATTGCACAATGCAACTTGGGCAAACGCGGCCAGAAACACCTCAGATTCATTATGCGTTTGATTTTTAGTTAGTTTTTGGTAGTTGTACATTCAGAAACCACAAAATTTACCAAAAAAAATGCCAAATTTTTTGAGACCCCATATGGGGTCATGACCCACAGTTTAAGAAGTGCTGGCATAGAGGATCTCTAAGCTCCCTTCCAACTCTAAATCCATGATTGTATGAAGCTTTTCCTTTTTATTCTGTCAGCCCCTCAGGTAAGTTGGAGGATAGAAAGGCATTGGGGTCACTGTTTCCCAGCAGACTTCAGCACAAACCCTTGGAGGGGAAGGATTCAAAGGGTGCTGTTACCAAATGTCTTTTGTGTCTTCGTGGCATGGTTCCACCAGCTGAAACCAGCCTCATGTCTGCCTATCTAAGGACCCTTGGAGAATCTTCCCCAAGCCTCAGCACTATATATTCCTCACCTTTCCATCATATGGATACTTTATACCTTTCTAACACAAGATCTCATCCATTGTTATCCATCTTCTCTATCTGCCTAGAGATGCTTGTGGTACAATGTCACTACCACCCCCTCTTTTGATGATACATTTCCCCTGCTTTTTCAGCTTCTTAATCTCTGCTTTTTCTCTCTCTCTTTCTCATATACTTCCCACTTAGTAGTCCTGATTCCACTGGGCATCTTCATTATTCTATTTTTCTTTTCCTTTTCGCATTTAGTTCATAACTTCTGGAATTTTTCTTTTTCTTTAGATTTGGGAAAAATGACTACCCTGACTACACTATCTTCTTCTTTGGCTTCTAACTCTCCCGCCACTTGAAACAACCACTGCTACTCATTCAGCTGCCATTAAAATGTATCCCCAGGACACATACTCTCAGACTGTCAAGGAGATGGGATCTGACTCCCCTCCTTCCTTGGAACAAGCCTTTCTCTCCTACGGCCAAGTTAGGATGATGGGCTTGATGAAGGTTTCTTCACGTCAGCATTCCATTTAGACCTTTGTGACTGATGTGTATTTTTTAAGCTTCTGCCTACTTGGTTGGTATTCCCCTTGCATTATGGTTAGCCAAGCCCAATTTCCTGTTCTGTTAATTGCTGTCATTCAGAACCACCATGTTACCTAGTAGAAATCTCTTTCCCCCTGCTACCTCTTCCTGACACTCTTTCCTTTCCATATCAATGCAACCCCCATCCCTACCTCTAGCCATTTCTCTTTTTCCCCTCCACTGTGCCCTTTGGAACATCTGCCATTGGTAACCCAGTACCATTTGACCTGTATTTCTTATACGCACCTACCAGTAATTGAAATCTGATTTTGTCCCATATACACTATCCGTTGCCAACCTTTCTAATCTTGGGCACTCCTCTTTGGGCTACACTGCTCCCTACCAACCACCCAACTCATAGTACTAGGAGGAATGGTTGGCATGTGATGCTACCACTAGATTCACTTTTCTACCATCATTCAACCTTTCTTCTTGAACTTCATTAGATCCAATTGTATGACTGCCTTGCTCGTTGTTGCTATCTATAGATCTCACCTCCACATCATCCTCCCACTCCTATCAGTCACTCAGTAAGCCTTTATTAAGTGCCTACTGTGTGTCAGGCACTAAGTTCTAGGTATACAAAGAATGTCAGAAGTCAGTTCCTGCTCTCAAGGAGCTCACAGTCTAATGAAGGAGATAATATGAACACAACTATGTACAAACAAGGATAAATTGGAGATAATCAGTAGAGGGAAGGCACTAGCATTTATATATATATATATAACCTGTTTCTATATGTTTAGAGCATAGATCATTCTATATGTTTATCTGCTTCACCAGTATGGCACACTCCTTTTTATTTACAGTATATATCACAGGGCTATGTGTGTGTGTGTGCATACTTATGCCCTCAACTATATGTCAGATTGTGTACCACACTACTAAGGTGATACTTTGTAGAACTAGACAAAATAACAATTCATTTGGAGAAAAAATGTTTCGAATCTTAAGGGAACCAATGGGAAAAAAGAATGAAGGGAATAGTACTTCTAGATTAAAAACTATTATAAAACTAATCATAAAAACTCTGATCAGTGGAACAGACTAGATAAACAAGTATCAAGGAGAAAAAAATTCAGTCTGAGTTGCCTGTTTTGGTTTAGCCATTTTGAAAAACCATTTGGAATTATAGAAGAAAAGTTACTCAGCTCATCCTTAGAGATCTTACTGCTGAGCACAGGTTATATATATATAACATATATATATA